CTCGGGAGAACTTTGCATTCCTTATACTCCATCTAAGATGCAAATTGTAGATGTACTGACTAAAGGGTTGGCTGCAGCAAAATTCGTGGACCTTCTTGGCAAGCTAAACATGATTGACATCCATGCTTAGCTTGAGGGGGAGTGTTAGGTTGAAGGGTTTTTTTATGTATTGATGGTTCAGCTGATAAGTGTTATTATTAGTCTGTATTTTGTTTAAGTTGTTATGTACTGGACCTATGTTAATGGGCCCAAGTTTATTTGGTGTTTTAAGTAGTCTGGGTGTCCCATCACTAATTAGGGGCATTCCAGACATTTCCTATAACATTGTACTGTAATCTAATATAAATGATAGTACTGTCGACTAGGTTATGTAGTTCGATATTCTCAGCACCTCTTGGTCTCCTCTCTTCTACTACTTCGGCTACAACATTTCAGCTTATAGTCTTTGTCTTGGGATTTTGGTTTCTATAGAGGGTTAAGGGAGGATGAAGTTGATTGTTTGTCTGCTCTTCTTGGTCTCCTCGATAAGGTTTGGTTGGATCCTTTGAAGCCTGATAAGAGGATTTGGGCCATTCACCCCAATGGGTCTTTTTCTTGTGGTTCCTTTTTTAATTTCCTGTGCCAAACCTCCTCTCAACAAAGTTTCCCTTCCAAAAAAGTCTGGTGTAGGCCGGTTCCCCCCCAAGGTTATGGCTTTGTGTTGGGAAGTATGGCATGGTAAAGTAAGCACAATGGATAACCTACAAAAAAGAAGACCCTTCCTATGTATTTCTCCAAACTGGTGCACTCTTTGCAGATCTCATGGTGAGGACTGCTATCACTTATTTTTATCTTGTAGTGTCACTGCAGATCTCTGGGTTTGGCTTCTATCATTGTTTGGGTGTAGATGGGATATGCCAACAGAAGTAAGTATAGCCTTTAACCCTTCTATGTTCTATTGGCCCCATAAAAGAGGAAAGAAAATGTGGAGGTGTGCACGAGCAGCCTTTTTATGGACAATTTGGGAAGAAAGGAATGCCAGGATCTTCCAGCAAAAGGAGAGGAGCAGTCAGGCCTTGAAGGACTGCATTATGTATAGGGCAATACATTGGTTAAAGACTGGATTTGTTTGATCATTTCTCCTTTACTGACCGTTGGACGGATTGGTTATCAGTAGCAAGCTGTTCCTCCTCCAAGGTAAAGGTAATGGCAAGATGGGTCCCCCCTCCTCATGGTTCTTTGAAGCTGAATTTTGATGGAAGTAAACAGGGCAACCCGGGTCCCTCCGGATTGGGAGGTGTACTGAGGAATGAGGCTGGAGAGGCTATTTTACTATACTCTGGCCCTTTAGGTGTTGGGAACTCTATTCGGGCAGAGCTGTTAGCTGCAATACAAGCAATCATTCTTACAAAAGAAATGGGTGTGGAGCAGCTTCTGGTTGAAGGGGACTCTAAGACGGTGGTGAACTGGTTAAATAATCCGGAGAATGTCACGTGGGACTACAAGAATAAGATAAAGAAATTCAAATGGCTGACAGGGAATATGTCTGTAACAGTACAGTGGGTTGGGAGATCAGCTAATGTATTTTCTGATGTCTTGGCAAAACAAGAAACAAACAGGGAAACATTGTTCTGGGCGCAACTGTAATTTATGTTTTTTTAACAGTCATGCACTTTTTAATGTAGTTTTTGTGTTTTCTGTATGGAGAGGCAGCACCCCGTGCCTCTCTAAGGGGATTTTCATGTAACCAATCTTTGAATTAATGGAATATGGTTCTTTATTTATCAAAAAAAAAAAAAAAACATGTTCCAAGACATGGGCTCTTGAACTGTTTTATGGATCATGTAACCCTAGATTAAAACTTTGTGTGTTTCTGTATAAAATAGAGTAATGATTTGGGTTCATCCTTTTCAGTAAAACCAGTCAGACCTGTAATGGGGATATATCTTGTTTTATGACTGAATATAAACTTCGTCTACCAAAAATCAGATCTGCTCAAATTATATGTAGGTGTTGCGAATCATGGAGACAGAAATAGGTGATTTTGAAATAAAACTACAAAGTGGAGCATGCAGCTATTGCTGGCACCCACGAGTCTAACTGCCCGCTAAAAGGATGCCTTACATAGCATGAGCATTTCCAACCAAAGGCAGTTGTTTTCTAATTAATCAAATCATATGCAATTTTGCAACTTCATGAATTTGTTTTGGATATATTTTTGTTGAAAAATTTTTGGGAATAATTTGAAGTTAAGTAAGCTTTTAATTTTCATTCCATAATCATAGAGAGTGCCTTAAAATATTCTTTAATTAAACTAATATAGTTCTAACATATTTAGGAGGTTCCTTGTATGAAAATCCAATATTTCAAGATTTATTTACTGTTTACTTATAGTAATTTGTTAAAAGAGCAGGCTTACTCATTGCTTTCAGATCTCTCTCTGTCTCTCTCTCTAAGCCCATCAATTTTCTCTTCTACCATCATTTTCCAAATCTGAGACCCTGTAATTCTTCTTCCAATACAAAAAAAAATAATAATAAAAATAATCTTCTTATCATTTACACTTGCTTATCACAATAATTCTTCTTCCAATACAAACTAGCCATCCAGCTCCTCTAATCTCTCCAAAACTCGGCCAACCATAGTCAATTTTCATGAGACCCAGTTTCTCACTTTTCTACCCCTCTTTGGAAGACCCCCCAAGGCTTGAAATAAATCTTGATCTGATTACCTAAAAACGATTAGCTTTGTTAAATCATGAGATATATGCTACATCAAACTGGTAATTTCAAGATCTAGATGCATGATAGAATTTCTATGATACTAATAGGAAAGCATGCCTCTAGATGAAGCTCGAGAGTAACTAATTGAAATATATGCATGCAAATATGCAAGGGAAAACCTTGCCCAGTCTAACTTTCTTCTCTAAGAGGTTATATAGACACAAAAATACAATATTTCTGAATAGAAGCTAGGGCTTGTATAACTACCTGATTTAATTGCATCATTTGCCAAGGGTGATTGCCCAGGTTTGGTGACATTGGTCTGCTTGCAAAACTCAAATAACAAAGGAAAAGCCATATTAAAGAACTCTGGCTTAGAAAAGGCATTAATAACCTGCAAAAACACAAGAAGGCAAATCACTACATCTCTCCAAACTAAGAACCTGTTGAATCATGAATTAGGAACTGGTGTCTTCTCTAAAGATGTAAAAACAGTGAACTACATAATTGTATAAATCACAAAAAACAATCTTTCAAAAACAATGTTCAACCACATCAGGAACGTGCTTGATACCCAATAAAAATGTCAAGTGTGTGTTCTTTTACAACACAATGTTGAACCACATCAGGAACATGCTTGATACCCAATAAAAATGGTAAGTGTGTGTTCTTTTACAACACAACAAAATTCATTTTTGTTCATAAAATATGTATGTATTAATGTATTTATATTTATATGTAAGGAAAGGGTTTCCCAATCAAGTAAACTAGGGAAAATCCTTAGATGATTCCACTTATTTTTCCCTAGTGGAGGATTTCTGTGCCAATCCATGTTAGCTTACAGCTCAAAAGCGGTCTTGCATATGTTCCATTTTTTTTAATCCGGAACCCAGGATCAAATCCAACATCAGTTATTGTCCATGATGCATACACCGTGTCAAGTTCAAAATAGAGATCTCCTACTATACACGGATACCCATATGTGCCTGGTCCACCAGCATTGGACACAATATGTACCCCATGCAACACCGGATACTGCATGAAGACTTCTAGAGTATTACATTTTTTTTATGGATAAATAGAAATCTTCACAATGATGCCATGCATCCCCAATGGTGGCCACTCTAGGCCACCAACCCTTAAAACAATATTATTGAATCAGTATTAATAAAAAGTATTTCTATTCCCCAGCTGAGCCCAAAATAGATTCCTTCTCTCCACCCCTTGTTTTGCCAATGCATCAGCCAATTCATTAGCTGATCTGTATGTCAACTAATTACTAGGTTCTTTCCAGCATTTCGGTTCTCTCTCATAATGCTCCACGGAGTCAGTCCACTTTTGCATGAGCCAGCTACTCATGAGTTTGGCATCCCCCTCCACAACCAAGTTCCATAAGTTAAGAGATCTTTCTAGATGCACACTTTGTAGGACTGGATTTCCTCCACTGCAGTCATCAAATTTAAGATTAATTGAAATGAGGGTAGGATTCATCTAGAGCTCATCCTCTTTTGCCAAAGATGATTGAGCTATCCATAAACATTCTCTTTCCATGTCTTCAAAAGAAAATGAATTAAAAAGATCCATTCTTAATCCAGCAGATCACCTTTACTTTTATGCATTCAATAAGCGAGCTTCTCAGCCTTTCTTTGTCATGAAAAAACCTAAAATTCCTTTCTTCCCATAGAGTCCACAAAACAGCTGCCCTAGTACTTTTCCACATAATCCTACCCCTTTCCTAAGAGCACCAGAATAGGATGAGCTGAAGATGCCACTCAAATCTGAAGGGAGCACCAAATGGAGCCCAAAAAGTCCTAAGAAACAGTTTCAAATACCCTCAATAAAAGAATAGGAGATTAGCAAGTGGTAAGTGTCCTCCTCGCTTGCTTGCATAAGAGGTAAATGTATGGAGAAATACACCATCCAGGTTTTTTTTTGCAACATATTAAAAGCATTATTTATTTTTTTAATGAAAGAATTCCTAACAAAAAGCCCTCATTTATGGTGGAGCTGGCCCACTTCAAATTTTTCTCACCAGAAGAGATGGCCCATATTTTATGAAAGAATTCCCATTTTTTATTGCCTTATATAAAAGATAGTTGGTGGCTGTAGAGAGTAGCTGCCCATTTCTTCTAAGCTTCTTTTCTTCCTGTTTCTCTTCTTTCTTCAAGACTGAATTCAAACATAAATAATATAATATATGATAAAACTCAAATTAGATGTTCGTATATGTTCAGGTCAGAAGAAAGAGAAGGAAAAGAGAGAGAGAAGGAGAAGAAGAAATCGAAGGAAAAGAAGGAGAAAAGGTCACAGCCGAACTAGAGAGAAAAATCAAATCCCTCTAGTCAGCCCTTCTTTTATTTATACTCTTCTAAGATACACAAGGATTACCATTGTGCCCTCACTTAAGTGAGAGCCACATAAGCTGAGCAGTACATATATAACTAAACATAAAAGGACTGTACTACCCTTGTACAGCTGACTCTAACAATATATTTAGTTAAATAACATTTAAAATATATAATCACGGTTAGGGGGGTGACTTCACTCCCCATCCATGCCCTGCCCCCGCCAAGGCAATCTCCATCCTCAACCCCATTGAGGAGACCAAGTACCTGGTGGGGATGGGGAAAATAGAAAAGAAAACTGAACTGCTCTTAGAAAAAAATATTCTGGGATAGTTGTCAAGAAAGAAAACAAGAATGTTGTCAAAATGATGGTAAGCAAAACTCAAGGTAAAATGAAACATCAAACTTTCCAGTTGTTTTATAGCAAGAAAAACAAACAACAACAATTCCATGTAAAATAACATCCTTTCCCTGTCAAACATCCAGAACATCTGGTAGTTTTTTTCTTATACCTAATCATTTAAGTTTCAGAGGAAGATTTTTATACTTTTCCTAATATTTACCACAAACCATAGAACATTATGCCATTAGAAAGTTTCCTGTGATATTACAACAAACTTTTCTATTATTGAACAATCAAAATCTCCTGAAACAGAAATCAGAACCGTGGGCAAGGAAGCTTCCTGCTAAATGCTTGAAGTTACTTTGAATGGGTAACTCGGGGAATAGAGATTCAGTTTCAGTGGGTGAGATTTTCTCTCTCCCCTTTTCTTCCCTTGTAAGCTCTGGTTCTTTAATTAATGAAATGTTTCTGTTATTGATAAAAAAAATGCTCGAAGCTACTTGTTAAAATGACTTGAAGTAAATGAGTCATTTGATAACTTTTGAAAGTAATTTGGCACAATTTACCTGTTCTAGACAGAAAAAAGCTGCTTCACAGTATGCCCTGTCCTTTTTGGTGCACACAGATGCTATTACATTCAAAATTGAACTTGGGGCTTCTGGATCCTCAACAGAAATTGCGCTGTGGCAAGACAAACAAACAGCAGCAATTGCATACAAAATAGTATCCTTTCCCTGTCAAACATACAGTTATAAGAAGTTGAACTGCTTAAAACAGTAATATCTAGATAAACCATTAAATTACATGCATAGATAACAGAATGGTCTCCATTTTATTTTATACGGTTGGATTAAGCAACATTGGCACATTTATAGCATGGTGACTGGGCAACTGGAAAAGTCAGGGCATGTATATCATCTCTAAGTTTTAAAATATTTTGTACTTCCTTTTACTGAATACAATGAGTTGAATGGTCCTACCTCCCATAAACGACCAGGTAATTCTTTCATAAGAGATTTGAGCAAGACATGATGATGGGAAGAAAGAGATTCTCCCAAAACTTCACTTAGCTTTCTGATAGCCTTTGCTGACTACATGCAAGCACAATGAACATTATAACACAACTAAGTCAGAAAGAACACAAACATGGTTATACATTTTATGATCTCAGTGAGATCATTAGTTAATGAGTAACAGGGCTTACCCTTTTCTTATTAGCCCATGAAGAAGACATAATTCCCTCAGAAAGAAGAGAAATAATTTCATCCATATAATATTGAAGGGTGACTCTTTCACTGCTTGTGTTTTCTTCCCACAACTCCTCAAATAGGCCACTGACATCCTTGTCATCCTCAAATCTGCATGAAAATTAACATTATGGCTGTAAATAAAAGATACAACTTCATTTTCAATTCCTTTTTTACATTTTCCGAATCTAATTACAAGGTTCAAAATAAGGCTGAACATTGAATTAAATGGATCAGAACTTATCATTCCATAAGAATTTCTGATATATTCAAACAATCAGCAATTTGTAGTGTTAACTGACAGAACATAATTCTATCTGATATACAGCCAGAACAAATTCCATAGGAACATATGGCATGATTATATAAGTTGCACAATTGAAAAACTATTGTGGAAATAGAAACAAAAAAAAAAAAATCAGCAATTCAAAATACAAATGTGGGCAACTTTTCGCTTTTCTTGTTTCCCCTTTTCTCTTGAGGACAAAACATTATGGGATGAAACAAGATTTTATTAAAAGAAATAGGAAGATGAGGGGCATGCCAAAGATCTTTTCCACCAAGGCCAATACCAAAAGGATTAAAGGACACAGAATAAACAGGAAGATTGGTCAAGGCACTCTATATGAATATATGCTTTCCTCTGGACAAACAAACCTGCTTCCACCCCACTACTTTCCTTATAGAACATTCCAAACACCAAGTCCCAGATTGTCATTGACTTGTAGATCCTAACAAGAGGCAGTCCCAAGAATTTGAAGTTAATTTAGGAAACAACATTACCATCCTCAACAAGTTGGCCAACAAATATCAAATTAATAGTTAATTTAGGAACAGTGTTTTAAGAAGTAATGATAAATTTAAAGATGTGGATAAGTAAATATCATGACAACCAACAATATTTAATTTCTCACCATTAGCATTAACAATTTGTTTTACCAAGAAGTTGAGGATTAGAAGTCTAACCAAGAGGGCCCCTGTCATACAATTAAAGGCCCCAGAATACATGATCCACAAGTGACTCGGAGTTGCATAATAACAAGAGGATTCAGTAGAAAGACCAATGACAGAGAACAAAGAAGAAATGGCCAAGGAAACTAGTTGGCACATCTTCTCCTTTGTGAAAGCACTGGAATTCTCCCCCTTAGAAGAAACAGATGAGGAAAAAGATGACTGAGCTGAAGTAGACAAATGTGAAGTGGTGTCATCCGAGCTCCCTATAGATGCCAGGTAAGCTTTGTATTTACTCTTCTTTTGTCCTGACCCTTTGGGACTTCGAGTTGGACACTCAGCAATGATGTGCCCATATTGCTTATAGTAAGTGTAAACATTTTTTCTTCTTGCAATGGGATATCACATGATCGTACTATTTGCACTCGTAACAATGAACCTTTGTTAAATCTTTCTTAGCTTTGGACTTATTGGCCAAGGAAACAGTATCCACAAGGACCGCAACATTATCTTTCTATTTTGATAAGGGCAAACTTAGTAACAAGGGCTGGTTTCTTCATGCAATAATTCACCAAGAATCACATAAATTTGGGACAGAAAGGAATCAACAAGCAAACAAAAGAAAACTGTTTTTTTTTTTTATATAAGAATATGATTCAAAGAAATTTCTTGGGTTTTTGTTGAATTGCCAATATATATCAATCAAGTGAATCTCGTTCCAATGGGGGTAAATTCAATAAATGCAAAGCAATTAGGGTCAGTCTTTAAACATTTTATTGCATTGAAATTTATCAAATTAAAAATAAATAACCATTTTTAGCCAAGATTTACTAAGTAAATAAGAATAAGATTTCTTGCTCCCAAATGAGAATCAACCTTACAAATTGTATTTTGCGAATCAACCTTACAAATCCCCAGATTTGTCCCATCCAAACAATTGTTAGTGTCGAGTATGTAGGAGAATTTCTGTCTTTGTGCTTATGTTTAGGTGCTGATGTGTATGTTTATGTTAGATCTAATGTCCCTAACTTAAGTAGGGGCACATGTGACTTTTCCACATTATTTTAGTAATATAAACTAAATCTGGCCGAATGGGAGGGTTGATTTTTTCTCTCATTCGAACCAGTCCTTTTCCTCCTTGTCTTCTCTTCTACTCTTCTCCTTTCTCTCTTTCTCTCTTTCTTTCTTATCTCTTTTCCTTGACTGTTATCAGTCTAACAGGCAGGCCGAACTTTAATATGGTATCAGAGTTAAACTGAGCAAATCGGATCTTCCCAGAATTATGTTCTCTGTGCACCCAGTCTAGGGTTTTCTCTTAATTTCTTTGCCATCAGTTGGAGATAAGGAAAAGGGCTGAAAAGGAAGGATTGCCCTCTTCCCTTGGAGGTTTCTATGCCTCCAGTTGTGGTGTTCGTGATCGGTTGCTGCAGTTTCTAAGAAGCCCTCCCCTAATCGATGAAGAGAAGAGGGTTGATTCGTGTGGTGCAGTGGGTGCYTTGTGYSGTCTGATTTTYGGGTGATCAGGTAAGAGGTTCTATGCATTTTCTTGGTGTGAATTAAATGATAAGTCTGTTTCAGACTGTATGGTGGGATTTCAGATTGTAATGTGCTAGGGTTTGTGCATTTCTCAGTGTGATTCGAAGGGGAAGTGTTCCTTAAACAGTGTGGTGAAGTTTCAGGTGGTCGTGAGGTAGGGTTTGTGGTGTAAAGAGTGCAGTTTACAGCAATAGTAAGCGCTGAAATCAGTGTGTAGTGTGGTCTAGTGTGCCGAATTCAGTAATACCAGAATTCAGCAATGGGAGACAATAGTGATAGCAAGACTAGTGTGATGGTTCCTACTGACTACATGAATGTTCAAATGACCTCCATTAAGCTGAATGGAGAAAATTATGTACCTTGGGCTAAATCTGTAGAAGTCTTCTTAAGGCAAAGAAGAAGGTGAAGCACACAAGGGACGAAAAACCCTCCACCGATTCTCATGAGTATGATGATTGGGAGCAAGTAGATGCACAGATTATCACATGGTTATGGAATAGTATGGAACCCAAGATTAGTGTAAATTTCATGTTTCTTGATACTGCCAAAGAAGTGTGGGACCATGCTAAGAAGTTGTATTCGGGCTGTTGAAATAATTTAGTTGTTGGTGTTAGGGTCTGTTTGGCTAGTTAAAGCGTTTGTTATTTCTATTTTTTTACTTCTGTTATGTCTGTTATTGTACTCACTTATAGCAGGGGCACAAGGGTCTTTTCYCTTKTTATTTCTGCCRCCCTATATATMTTATAATAAAAGCTGGCGCCGCCAGTACTGTTACATTGCCAATCCCTTCTCTTCTCTTCTCCCTTCTCTCTTCTTCTTCTCTTCTCTTCTCTTCTCTTCCTCTTATTTCTGGCCGGCCACACTGTCAAGATGGTATCAGAGCGGGAATACTAACTGAGAGAACAGATCGAACAAACTTCATTGATCGAACAGATCGAACAGACTTCACTCTTCCAACTTGCTGAATTTGGGCGGAACAGAGATCTGAATCTGGACTGAGGAAAACAGATCTACAACTGGTATAGTCCTTCCTTTTTTCTCTTCCTTACCCTCCTTGGTCGTGTACCAAGTGAAAAAACCAAATGAATCTGGGCTAGTGAATACTATCAGATCTTTGTACCTCTGTTTTTTGGGATCGTGTGATCCTGTTCCTGTGTTAAGGCGACTGTAGGTCAAGGATGACCTGTTATCTCAATTATTTGGCTTGATTATAAGTGTTAAGGATCTCTCTTGCAGATTAATGTTCTTCGACATTCTGGAAGGCTGGTAGGTTGGGACAGTTAAACCGTACAGGTCTGAAATCTGCCGAATATTGCCTTTTTTTGTCCTAAAATTGGTACTTTCTGTGCTCAGACTGTTTTCAAACCCAAGAGTGTGGGTGTGGACTGAGTGGAGCATTTTTTTGTGGAGTAAGGAGGGGTCCTAAGTCTGGTGTTTGGGACTGATTGTCTGTTTTGACCATGTCGTCTAAGAATTCTCTTACTTCAGAGATTTCAGGGAGCCACAATGGAGTGAGTGAGGGAATGGATATGAGTTTCCCCATGGTTGTTATTCCCTTTGATGGTCTGAACTACCTTGAGTGGTCTAGGGGAATAAAACTCTACATCACTGCTARGGGGAAAATAGGATRCAWYAATGGGAGAGTGAAGGAACCGAAGTACGGAAGTGCTGAATATGATAGGTGGAACCAAGAGAA